GTTTGTTTGAATTCTCAAAAGCAACTTCTTCGGCTTCACATGCACTTCTCTTCTACGAGGTGACTTTTGAGTGGACTCAAAAGTCACTTCGGCTTCACATGCACTTCTCTTCTGCTTCTCACACTTCGTCTCGCTCTCAACTCCTCGCATCCTTTCCCTCTTCACCCCATGTCCCAACCTCGCCTGTCTGCGTGTGCATCCCTCCTTTTCGAGTGGTCCACTCCTCCTCCTCTGCACCTCCCCTCACTCGCCTCTCTCTTCTCTCTTCCCCCCTCTCCAACCTCTGACATAATTCCAGTGAGCAGCAGTGCCTAGGTTTAGGCTTAAGCAAGTAGGAAAAACAGTGAAACTCTTAACACTAGCTAATAGCCGAGAGTCTGTGAAACCGGAACTCATCCGCACCTCCCCTCACTCGCCTCTCTCTTCTCTCTTCCCCCCTCTCCAACCCCTCCACCCCACACCCTTCTGCTCCCGCTCTTCCATATCTCAGCCTCGCCTGCCTGCGTGTGCACCCCTCCTTCCGAGTCGTCCACTCCTTCTCCTCCGCCGCTCCCCACGTGCGCTTCACATCCATCAAAGGCACGGAGGAGGTGGTGAAGCCAGACGTGCAGGAGCTCTGGCTGAGAGGCGATGACAGACCCAATGGTGAGTGGGTTTGGCTGTTGCTTCCCCTCACTCTCCTCGCTTCACATCCATCAAAGGAACCGAGGTGGTGGTCAAGCCAGACGTGCAGGAGCTCTGGCTGAGAGGCGACGACAGACCCAACGGTGAGTGGGTTTGCATTGGCGTTGCTTTCAGAGGACCTTTGTTCTGCACCTTGCATCTCAGCACAGTTCGTGTGCTTCACTAGGTCAACTCACAGACTTTCTATTCTGTGCATCCTTTGTACCTACAGGAGAATGGTCGTTGGTGGACCCAGGCACAGGTTGCTCTGTGGTCAAACGATCCAACCGGAGTGAACTGATCAGCCTGAGCCAACGACTTCAATTTGAATCACAAACTCTTTGCTTTATCTCACCTTCTGAATTATAGGAGAGTGGTCCTTGGTGGATCCGGGTACTAGGCCGCACTGTGGTCAACTTATTCAACACGAGTCAAGTGATCAAACTCGAGTCGTTTATTTTTCTTTTTGCTCCCCCTCCGAAACCACAGGACATTGGTCCCTGGTGGACCCGGGCACAGGCCGCACTGTGGTCAACCGATTCAAACTGAGTCAAGTGCTCAAACTGGAGTCATAAACTTTTCTTTTTTTACTCCCCCTTTGTAACTACAGGAGAATGGTCCTTGGTGGATCCAGGCACAGGCCGTACTGTGGTCAACCGATTCAACCCGAGTCAAGTGCAGGCGTGCTTCGTGTATTGGGGCAGTGGGTTCTGCAACCTGGAGCTGGTTTCAGAGGAGAGGCCGGTGTCGGTTGAAACGCCCCTCATTGTCAACCACTCATACAGCATTGAGACAGTGGCAGAGTGATGCAGTCAACAAAGTCAACACGAGTCAAATGCAGGCGTGCTTTGTCTACTGGGCCAGTGGGTTCTGCAACCTGGAGCTGGTTTCAGAAGAAAGGCCTCTCGGTTGAAATGCCACTCAGGATTGATCACGCATCAGGCCTCTTGATATAAGGGTGAATCACTCTTATGACCCTTACTATATAAGGGTGTCTTCTGATTCGGACCCTTCACAAAGTGGATTTTTTTCTGACACTTACAGAAAAATGTGAATATGTTGAGGACCCTGATATTTCAGAGTGAAGTGGTGTAGTCGCACTGATTGGGAACATACATCCTCCTCGAAAAGTAGAGAATTAGCTCCAAGAACTGAGTCCCATGGATAACAATGCCCACCAAATGCCTCCCACAATGATCGATCCTACGTCCCTTTCACAACAGGACCCACTGTGCTAAGTTGTCACGCCCGCTACCGTAGTTATTTTTTATAAAAAAAATCTAGTTTGGTTTAAACCCTTACAAAAAAGAGTGGTGCTTGCCTGGTACCCTTACAGAAAGAGTGAAAGCAGCTGGTTACCCTTATGAGAAAGACTGTTTCAAATCCTATCTAGAGGCCTGTCACGCGTACATCATGGAGACAGTGGCCGGATTATCTGGTCAAGAAGTCAACCAGGTTTACTTCATATACTGGGCCTGTGGGTTCTGTCAACAGGGCATATGCATATAGAGCATCCATCCTTCAGAATTGACTGGAGGCACACCTTTTCTTGTTTGCTCAGCATTGTTAAATTAAGAATGTTAACAAACTACAACTCCACAATCACTACCGATTTCAGCCGTGATTTGTCAGCATTTACTTCATAGCGAAGCGCTCTCGCTTGCGCGGCGGCCGTGCGAAAGTATTGACTCAAATGAGAGGTTTGTATGCAGGCAGGTCCAAGCTGGCGAATTCATAACTGGCGGAACATCACTCGGCAGGACTTCGCCGAGCTGTGCTGGGCGACGCCAACAGCTGCGCGAACTGCGATGTGCAACTGTTTTATCGCTGACGAATTCCATGTGGTAAAAAGTTACTCGGCAGGAACTCGCTGAAGCTTTCTTCTCACGCCGTGCTGGCGGTCGCGAACAGCTGCGGAAAGTGTGGAGTCCGCTTGACTAGGAAGGATGACTACTAGCGAATTCTTGTTTGATTTCGCGAACTGCCAACGAGGAATGTTGGTTCTTTCATCTCCTTCCTCGCCAGCCCCTTTCAGAGTTAGAGAGTACCCTTCTTCCACTCTCGACAATTCCTTACACTATACATAAACCGCCATATCAGGTAGGCGCAACGACCATATCTCGTAAGCTTCAAGTTCATAGAGCTCATTTGTACATACACCTCGCCTCGCAATTTTTACTGCTGGACCAATCCGTTTTCTATATACATATAGAATGCCCCCGGGGTAGTTCACTTTTTTTTTTCTTTGTAATAACTCCACTTGAATACGAACGGAAGTAACTTCTTTCATTTCTTGGCGACAGTACAGACATGGCGCGTTTGCAATTGAAACTGACCGTTATTGCGGGTGTAATACTCATCATCCTCGTGTCTCTTACCACCGCTAAAAGAACGTCGAAAGGCCTCCGTCCTTCGCGCCGTTTCTTGCGGGAGAGCCGGCTTCCTCTAGGCGCGCGAACACATGGTAACCGTCGCCAGCTGCAAGAATCCTTGTATGATAACGGCGATTGGTCTGGTGACAGTGGAGGCTTTTCGAACTATTGGAGCGACTGGTTAAACGACGGTGGCGACTGGTCTAGTAATTTGCCCGAGGACTGGTCGAGCTGGTTAAACAACGGTGGCGATTTGTCTAATTTGCCCGACGACTGGTCGAGCTGGTTAAACAACGCTGGCGATCTGTCTAATCTGCCCGACGACTGGTCGAGCTGGTTAAACAACGGTGGCGATTTGTCTAATCTGCCCGAAGACTGGTCGAGCTGGTTAAACAACGGTGGCGATTGGTCTAATATGCCCGATGATTGGTGGAGCGATTGGGGTGGCGACACCGGCGGTGGCTGGGACGACGGTAGCTCTGACGACGGCGGTAGCTCTGACGGCGGCGGTTGGGACGACGGTAGCTCTGACGGCGGCGGTAGCTCTGACGGCGGCGGTTGGGACGACGGTAGCTCTGACGGCGGCGGTTGGGACGACGGTAGCTCTGACGGCGGCGGTATTTCTGACGGCGGTGGCTGGGACGACGGTAATTCCAACGGCGGCGGTACTTCTGACGGCGGCGGTTGGGACGACGGTAGCTCTGACGGCGGCGGTAGTTCTGACGGCGGAGGTAGCTGGGACTACGGGGGAAGCTCTGGCGAAGGCGGCGACGGCGGAAGCGGCGGAAGTGACGGGAGTAGCGGCAGCGGCGGAAAGGGCGGAAACGGTGGGGGCGGGGGCACAGTAGACGCGGGGGCGATGCTGGAGGGACACAACGCTGCGCGCGCAGAGCTGGGCCTCCCCGGGCTGGGCTGGGACGCGAATCTGGCGGCCTCCGCGCAGGCATGGGCGGACAACCTGGCTTCGCGCGGATGTCCCATGGAGCACGGGGGACACGATAACATGGGGCAGAACTTATACTGGAAGAGGCCTGCTGCTTTTAACGCGGATGAGGACCGTGGTGCAGTGAAAAGCTGGGTGGATGAGAAGCAGTATTGGACGTATAGTGCGATTCCGGGGGGGTGTGTGGAGGGACAGCAGTGCTTGCACTATACGCAGATTGTTTGGGAGGATACTAAGAATGTGGGATGCGCTGCGGCTCAATGCAGTGACGGGGCCGGGATGTGGGTGTGCCATTACTATCCACAGGGGAACTGGCAGGGGGAGTACCCATATACTACCTAACAGGACCCAACTGAACTGCACTGGACCTGACTGGACCACTGTCTGCCCTGCTGGAAGTATGGAGACCGTTCTCAAGAAGACTTATGATCGGAAGGAAGTGCAGTGCACCCCTCGTCCGAGCACGATGCACTATGGGTTTTACCGCGGGTGGGAGGAGGAAGTGCAGAGTGAGCTGGTGCAGTTCTTGGCGGTGCATTTTATGCATCGGAAGAAAGAGTTTTTGAGTACCGGTACCAAATTTCCGCCTGGAGAAGTTGTGGGGTAGTGATGTGCGTGGATCGTGCATGTGGGATTTGTGATCCGCATATTTGGCATTTGGCTGTGTGTGAGCAATATCTATGTGGTGCAGGAATCGTGTTTATGGTAGTACAAGGAACCAACCAAAGCCATCTCTTTCAATTCAACCAAGCCAAGGCTAGGTGGATGTTCCTAAAACCCCAGACAAGCTGCACCCCTTTAGATTGTCCAAGCTACGAGCATGTGAGATGAGATAACTAACAGGCACCACTAATCACAAGTGTGCGAACAAGCTGTAGCACAAAAAACGAGGGGGCAAAAAAACACATAACGGTACATACTTCAATCCCATCTTCCATCTCAGCGTACATCCTCGAACCATTCAGTACATTCTTCCATTCCAATACCCAACTTCCAACTTACCACTCCGCATCTAATTTCTCCTAGTAGACGCAAATCGCATCCCATCCTCCCTCGTCGTCCATGCCATTGTCAGTGTTAAAGCCATACGGATGCTCAATGTCATCGTCCTCCCTACCACTCTCCTCCTCTTCCTCCGATGCCTCCTCCTCTTTCCACCACCACATCGTCTCCCTCCCCCTCCCCCTCTTCCGCATCCCCTCCCACTCCTGCTGATCCCCTTTCTCACCCTCTTCCTCGTCCGCATCCCCTCCCTCCCTTTCTTCCCCTTCCGAATCCCATTCCCCCCTTTCTTCCCCTTCCGAATCCCATCCCCCCCTTTCTTCCACTTCCGAATCCCATTCCCCCCTTCCCCTTCCGAATCCCATCCCCCCCTTTCTTCCCCTTCCGAATCCCATCCCCCCCTTTCTTCCACTTCCGAATCCCATCCCCCCCCTTCTTCCCCTTCCGAATCCCCTCCCTCCCCCTCCTCCTCCACCTCCTCCCCCTCTCTCTTCTCCCAATCCACCCCAACCCTATAAACCCCCCTCCTGTCTCGCTGGATGAGCAACAGGCACCTGCTCCTGCTGCTGCACGAACGCAGTATCGCCATCTTCCGGAGAAATGACGGCAGCCGAGTCAGCTGCTTGCACGCTTACACGCCCTGCAGTTCAAGCTTAGGCAGCTGGGCAAACGAATCCGGCAAGCCTCGCAACTGCTTCAGTTCTGCCATCTAACTCATCCTACTCATCATCACTCTCTACCCAGCCTCTGCCACAGCCCATCTCATAGTCACTGTCCATGGCATACTCATGCTCAATATCATTATCTTCACCCCCACTCTCCTCGTCCTCTGGTGCCTCCCCATCCGCCTCTTCCCTTTCCCCAGCCACATCGCCTCCCTCCTCCCCCTCTTCCTCTTCTGCGTCCCCTCCCTCCTCTTCCTCCTCCCCCTCCCCCTCCTCTCCCTCCTCTCTCCTTGCAGGAATCCCTCTGGTGTTGCGACGGGAGAGCAGGGGGCATTCACTGATGTCGCACTCACGCAATGTTGGCATATTCCGGAGAGAGGCGGGCAGCCGAGTCAGCTTCTTGCATATGATCACCTCCAGCTTCTCAAGCTTAAGCAGCCGTGTGAACGAATCTGGCAAGCTTTGCAAGTGCTTCAGTCCCAGAATCAACAACTTTTGGAGCGAAGACAGCTTCCAGATGTCATCAGGAATGCTTGGGATTCCAAGCATGATGAGAGAGCAGGATCGTAGCTTGGGTAGATTCACGAACGACTTTGGAAGCTGCATCAGCTTGTAGCAATCGATAATATCCAGCGTCTCGAGCATTTTCAGCTGCCCGAGAGACTCGGGCAGCTGCTGCATTGAGATGAGGTCAACCAGCTGCAAGACACGCAGCCCTGCAAGCCTCCCAAGGGTCTCGGGCAGTGCTTTCAGATGGTAGGCCGTATCAATCTTGAGCCTTTGCAGCTGCGAGAGTTGGGAGATGCAGTCAGGGAGAAGGTCAAGTTTATACATCTCCAGGAGCTTCAACTGCGTCAGAGAGGACAGCCGACCAAGGGATGGACCAAAAGACTCCACATTAAGCGCTTTCATCTTGAGGCTCAGAACGGAAGGAAGCAGAGGGCGGCTGCTGCTCCTGCTGCCGGTGCTGGTCACAAAGCCCCTGGCAGTGCGTCTAAGCACCGTCTCATCGCCTAACACCCCGCTTAGCGAACAACATGCCCGCACGTCCAACGACCGGAGACTGGGCAGCTCAAGGAGCGCCGGAGGGAGACATATCAGGCCGCCCATCCCAACGATCCTGACCTCCTCGAGCGCCGCCAACCGTCCGATTCCCTCTGGCAGGACCGTTATTTTAGGGCAGTTTCCTAGTTCCAGACTGGTGAGGGAATCAACGCCAGAGAATGAAGCAGGGAAGGGAGGATAAGCGTGGCATAGACTCAAGCGACAGCTCCTTGAGGCTCTTCAGGCAGCCAAAGCCGTCCAGCAGCGCGCCCCTGAAGCGTTTCGCGTCTACAATCTTCAGCGTTTCAAGAGATGTCAGGGCGGAGAAGGATGGTGGGAGGTGGGTGAGAGCCGTGCACTCTAGCAGATGCAGGTGGCGCAAGGAGCGGAGACCTTTACCCATGTCGTCTGGCAGCACAGTGAGGCACGGACAGTCGTTAAACTCCAGGTGCTCGAGAGAAGACAGCTGGGACAGGGAGTCGGGAAGTTGCTGCAGCTGCCTACACTCCAACAATTTCAGCTCCCGAAGCGATATTAACTGCCCGAATGTTTCGGGCAGGTGCGTGAGCTGTCGGAGGTCTTTCAAATACAGCTTCTCTAAAAGCACCAGCTGACCAAACTCCTGCGGCAGATGCGTCAGATTCAAAAGATGATCGAGGGAAAGCTCTTGAAGAGTGGTAACCAGGGCGATGGAATCAGGTAAGGCTGCGAGACTTCGCAGATTTAGCACGAGTTTCCGAAGCGTAGACAACTGCCCGAAATCTTCAGGCAGCACTGAAATTTCTCCCATGTCAAGGGCGAGTTCCGTGAGTGCGGGCAGGCGGGGAAGGGACACGGGCAGAGTCGTGATGTCACTGCAGCCGTTGATCAATAGAGTCTTCAGTCGTTGCAAATGCTCCAGATCCGCAACCAAGTCGCGCATTCCCCTCACTTCAACCAAGATGATAGTTTCAAGTGCCCCCAATTGACCAAAATCGACCGGCGACGGAGGAAGAATACTGCATCGTCGACACTCCAGGACGGCGAGAGAAGAGAGCTCGGTGAAAGAGTCCGGAATGATGCAAGGAAAGGCGGTTCAGAGCGGTAAGCTGCCCGAAAGAGTCTGGAAGTGACGCCAAGTTGCAACCATTCAGCTCCAGCGACGTCAAAGAAGCCAGATTTCCGAAATTTTGAGACAAAGCTTCGAGCTTATAAGTGTTCAGCACGATGCTTTTGAGAGACTGCAGCGAGGTCAGTGTGTCGGGAAGACGCGTGACTCTTGCCACGAGGTGCAGATGCTTGAGGAAAGTAAGTCGGTCGATTGACGTGGGAATGGCAGCACTATCAGAACAATGCACACGGAGATCTTCCAGCCGCGTACACCCCTCGAACAGCGCAGCGAGGCTCATCTCGGTTACATCTTCGCGACTACACCAACGTGACATCGATAGGACATGAAGCTGGGTCAAACGGTGACACGTGCTGGCGAGGTGAGAGAATAAAAATTTAGAGGTTGAGGTGAGGCTGCAGGAGGAAAGGATGAGCTTTTCGAGATTCGGGAACGAGGACAGAAGCTCAACAAGCCGACGCGGATCCATACGGAGGTCATGGGGCAAACAGAGCTCGTATTGCACGCGGCACGCGATCCGATGCCATTGCTTGCTAACGAGTGCATGCTCCGGCAGGCCATCAGGTCGAACCAGAACCCAAAGGATCCGAGAAAGAAGCTCCTCAGGTAGCCGCTGGATCGGCGATCCGACTGGCATTGTAAAAGGAGGAGAAAGACAGGAATTGTTGGCTCTTCACCGCGTTAAGTCTGCTTCTAATTAGGAAACGTGGCTTCTATAATCGTTTTCTAGCAAGGTCCGTCAGACAAAAAGAGTCTCGGGAGGATCAGTTTCACGTAGGATCAATGAATACATTTCTCTCACGAAGTAAGCGTTGGGCTTGTTCGTGGCACCGTACTCAACCGCTCGTTTATCTCGAGCCATTCCCGCCAGATACTCCCGCGTTACATCATACTTGCGAAAAGGACGGGCGATACAGGCACGCAACGACGAACCCGTATCTCGACTCTGCGAGGAACACGCACCGTGCATTTCGCGATTCCGAAATGGGATGTGCTGGTGGCTGATGTGGTAGTGCCCCGTTCCCGCCAAAAAAGTGATGGCAGCGTACTCGTTTATGGGTGGAAATTCACTCTCGTCAGTGAGAGTATCTTACCAAAAATGAGTTGTTATTCTAGAATACTTGTAAGGAAAATTCCTTTTCCTTACTTCGCGTCCCCGCTCAGCGCGTACACCGCTGTAGCACCACAGTCAGCACCGTTACCACTCGCAGCCCTCGCATCGATAATCCTCCCGCCACCTTCGCACGTCGCACCCCGACCTCACGGCTCGGCGGGTAACCCGCGCTCCGGGCCTCCGCTTCGACATTTTCCCCAACCTCAGTCCCAGGCCCGTCACGCGACAACCACAGTCCATTACCGTTACCACTGTAGTTTCGCTATATATTCTTCGCTCATGCCTTCGCTCATTGTACTCTTGCTTCGATAGTGCAATCCTCGTTCGCTCACTCAATTGCACTCGTAACACTTGGTATTCCGAGCCTACGATCTCTTCTCGGACCGCACCCACACCTTCGCTTCCCCACTATCTCAATTTTTTGGGGGGGGTAGACGTCTCTCAGCGACACAGCACCGCCGCTCGTAGTGCTCTCTCGTAAGCACGCACGACCACGACAGAGGCTCTCGCTGAGCTTGCCCGACACCCCCGCCATAGCCGAATTCACGCTCGCGACGTTGACGCAGGAGCAGCTTGACCGTCTGGTACGCCAAGTTGAAGAATCGGCGCTCGAAATTGCGACGCTCACGGCGGAACGTGACTCCGCGCGTCAACAATCCACGGTGAATACTCCAGCGCCACCACACACACCGACAAATGCATCTGCACAATCGGACGAGCCGATCGTCATTTCGTCCGGCACACCAACACAACACGACAGCGTGGGACAGCGCTCAGGTGCAGCCAGTGATGGCGCCGCCCAGCCGATGCCTGGCATGGGAGGAAACAGGGTCGCACCAAGCCTGCGGGAGCCTCGTGAAGCCCGTCGGCACGTGGAGTTCGCGGCGACAAGTGGCGAACAGGCCATTATGGCACCAATGCCACTCAAGCCGCAACGCCCGCCCTGCTTCGACCCAAGCCAGCGTGGAGGTCCGACGGTTCAGTCGTGGGTCTTCACGATGAACGTCTTCTTCTACGCGAATTACGTCGAGTCGGACGCAGCGAAGATCCGATATGCCGTCTCGCTGCTGAGGGGCCCCGCCATAGACTTGTGGCGAGTCATCGTGACGTCGCCACGCGCCTACGAGCCACCGTCGCAAGAGGAAGGGCCCACGGGTCCAGCTGTCACTTGGAGTTCATTCTGCGAAACCGCCCAATACAGCACGTGGGATGCGTGGTGCGCAGGGCTTCGGGCGCGCTTCGAGCCGATCGCGGCTTCTATTTCAGCGCGTCAGAGACTGCGTACTTGGCGGCAACTCGGGTCGGTTCAAGACTATACGAGTGGTTTTCTCGCATTATGCGAACAACTCGGCTACATGCACGAAGCGGAGCAGGTGGACCGTTACGTCGGAGGGCTGAAGCCAGACATCTCGCACGAGATCATGCTACGCGGGCTCTCGAACTTCAACGAGATTCTCGCGCTCGCCGAGAAAATCGACATTTTGCGCCGTCCGAGACCGGGATCCTACTATGGACATCGTCCTCGAGGACCGATCGAGCATGCCACCGTACATGCCGTTGCGACGAATGCAGCTGCCACGCCGTTTAAGAGGCGCTTCTTTGCTTGCAATAGGCCGGGCCATCGCAAGAGTGAATGCCCAGAGGAGCTGAGGCGCCGCGGAGCAGAGCAAGGGAGGGAGTCTCCAAGGCAGGGAAACGCCAGCAGTCAGTAGGAATCGGGCCAACTACTGACGAGACTGCCTGCTCACCCAACCCCACCGACCCTCACCGAGTCACAGTACCGATTCATGCTATCGATCGGGCTCGGACGAATAAGGAGGGTACAGCGGCGGATTGCCCAGTACTGATCCACGGGATAATACAGGGAGCAGCAGTGAAGATTTTTATCGACGGAGGAGCAGGTCACAGTTTAGTTAATACCGCGACCGCACGCAGATTGCAACTGACACTTAGCCATTGCTTACCTGAGATAGATACACGCTTAGTTAACGGCACGCCACTGGCCATACGGGAAAAGGTGGAGAGAGTCAAAGTCCGCTGCGGGGGAAGTTTCGGCTTTACACAGGAAATGCTCGCGACGACACTCGATGGGCACGACGG